TTGCTGCCTCAACTTCAGACCTTGTTATGGGTCTGTTCAGGGTTTCGGCTTCTTCCTGGTTTAGGCTTAGGAGGAGGCAAGCGTCCAGGAATTTATCCATTTCTACCAGGTTTACTAGTTTATGTGCATAGAGTTGTTTGTAATAGTCTCTGATGATGGTTTGAATTTCTGTGGAATCTGTGGTGATATCCCCTTTGTCGTTTTTTATTGCATCAATTTGGTTATTCTCTCTTTTCTTTTTTATTAATCTGGCTAGTGGTCTATTTTGTTGATCTTTTCAAAAAACCAGCTCCTGGATATATTGATTTTTTGAAGGGTTTTTTTGTGTCTCTATCTCCTTCCTTCACTTCTGCTCTGATCTTAGCTATTTCTTGTCTTCTGCTAGACTTTTGAGTTTTTTTTTATCTTGCTCCTCTAGCTCTTTCAATTTTGATGATAGGGTGTCAATTTTTGATCTCTCCTTGCTTCTCATGTGGGCACTTATTGCTATATATTTTCCTCTAAAGACTGCTTTAAATGTGTCCCAGAGATTCTGGTATGTTGTGTCTTCATTCTCGTTGGTTTCGAAAAACACCTTTATTTCTGTCTTCATTTCATTGTTTATCCAGTCAACATTCAAGAGCAAGTTGTTCAGTTTCCATGAAGTTGTGCGGTTCTGGGTTAGTTTTTGAATTCTGAGTTCTAACTTAATTGCACTGTGGTCTGAGAGACTGTTTGTTATGATTTCCGTTCTTTTGCATTTGCTGAGTTGTGATTTATTCCTAATTATGTGGTCAATTTTAGAGTAGGTGTGATGTGGTGCTGAGAAGAATGTACATTCTGTTGATTTGAGGTGGAGAGTTCTATAAATGTCTATTAGGTTTGCTTGGTCCAGGTCTGAGTTCAAGTTGTGGATATCCTTGTTAATTTTCTGTCTGGTTGATCTGTCTAATATTGACAATGTGGTGTTAAAGTCTCCCACTATAATTGTGTGGGAGTCTAAGTCTCTTTGTAAGTCATTAAGAACTTCCCTTATGTATCTGGGTGTTCCTGTATTGGGTGCGTATATATTTAGGATCGTTAGCTCTTCTTGTTGCATTGATCCTTTTACCATAATGTAATGTCCTTCTTTGTCGCTTTAAAGTCTAATTTATCAGAGATGAGAATCGCAGCTCCTGCTTTTTGTGCTCTCCATTTGCTTGGTAAATCTTCCTCCATCCCTTTATTTTGAGCCTTTCTGTATCCTTGCATGTGAGATGGGTTTTCTGGATACAGCACACCGATGAGTTTTGGCTTTTTATCCAATTTGCCAGTCTATGTCTCTTAATTGGGGCATTTAGTCCACTTACATTTAGGGTTAATATTGTTATGTGTGAATTTGATACTGCCATTTTGGTGCTAGCTGGCTGTTTTGCCCATTAGTTGATGCAGATTCTTCATTGTGTTGATTCTCTTTACCATTTGGCATGTTTTTCGAGTGGCTGGTACTGGTTGTTACTTTGTATGTGTAGAGCCTCTTTCAGGAGCTCCTGTAAAGCTGGCCTGGTGGTGATGAAATCTCTGAGTACTTGCATGCTCACAAAAGATTTTATTTTTCCTTCACTTATGAAGCTTACTTTGGCTGGATAGGAGACTCTGGGTTGAAAGTTATTTTCTTTAAGGACGTTGAATATTGGCCCCCACTCTCTTCTGGCTTGTAGGGTTTCTGCTGAGAGATCTGCTGTGAGTCTGATGGGCTTCCCTTTGTGGGTAACCCGACCTTTCTCTCTGGCTGCCCTTAGTATTTTCTCCTTCATTTCAACCCTGGTGAATCTGACGATTATGTGCCTTGGGGTTGCTCTTCCTGACAAACATCTTTGTGGTGTTCTCTGTATTTCCTGGACTTGAATATTGGCCTGCCTTGCTAGGTTGGGGAAGTTTTTGTGGATAATATCCTGAAGAGTATTTTCCAGCTTGGATTCATTCTCTTCGTCGCATTCAGGTACACCTATCAAACGTAGATTAGGTCTTTTCACATAGTCCCACATTTCTTGGAGACTTTGTTCATTCCTTTTTACCCTTTTTTTCTCTATTCTTGCCTTCCTGTTTTATTTCATTGAGTTGATCTTTGGCCTCTGATATCCTTTCTTCTGCTTGGTCAATTTGGCTGTTGCTACTTATGCATGCTTCGCGAAATTCTTGTGTTGCGTTTTTCAGCTCCATCAATTCACATATATTCCTACCTATTTTGTCCATTCTCGCTAGCATTTCGTCAAATCTTTTTTCAACGTTCTTAGTTTCTTTGCATTGGGTTAGAACATGTTTTTAAGTTCACAGAAGTTTCTTACTACCCACCTTCTGAAGTCTGATTCTGTCATTTCATCACACTCATTCTCCATCCAACCTTATTCCCTTGCTGGTGAGGCGTTGTGATCCCTTTTAGGAGAAGAGGTGTTCTGGTTTCATGTGTTTTCATCCTTTTTGCGCTGGTTTCTTCTTGTCTTTATGGATTTATCCACCTGTCGTCTTTGTAGTTGCTGGCTTTCAGACTGGGTCTCTCATTCATGAATGAAAGCCAAATTCACCCATAGGCTGTTAAGCGATGCTCTGAAACTTATTCGCAAAGTACATAGAGAAAGAAATTGCACTGGGTGAGACCTAACTCCCGCAGAGAAGCAGCTTCAAAACCGGGCCTCCCCGGCCGCCGGCTCGGCTCTCTTCTCCCTCCTCCACCTGCAGCTGCCTCTCGTGGCTCCCTGGGCGGCCGTACTGGGCGTTGGGACTGGGCTGGGTCAAGTGTCGGCAGGGCTGCGGACAGGCTGACGCCAGGCAGGGGTAGCGGTGGGCCTGCGGGCTAGTCACTAATGGGTCCCGGGGCGCCGGGGTGGACCGTGGCAGTGAGCGCGGCTGCAGGCTGCTGTGAGGGGCGGGGAGAGAGCGGCTGTGAGCTGGCAAGTGGGCAGACAGAGGGTGGAGGGAAGCCCGGGCGGAGGGGGCGGTGTGAGAGCGGCGGGGCTGGGGTGGGGCCTGGCGGGGCTGGGGCAGGGCCTGGCGCGTCTGCGGAGCGCGGTGGTTTATTTTCACGGTTGGTGGCGGTGCTGGCGCTGGTTCGACTATATAGCTTATAAATTATGCACATATGTACATATTATAGAAAGGTATTTAAACAATATGTATACACATTTATAATTTAGATAGAACACATGCTAAATCAAATGAGATAAAATGTTAACAACAGGTGAATGTTGTTCTTTGTACTATTTTATTTTTGCTGTGTTGTAAATTTAAAATTATTTCTATAAAATGTTTAAAAATTGTAAAATAATGGGCCGGGGCAGTAGCTTACGCCTGTAATCCCAGCACTTTGGGAGGCCGAGTCGGGAGGATCACTTGAGGTCAGGAGTTGGAGACCAGGCTGGCCAACATGGTGAAACCCCATCTCTACCAAAACATACAAAAAGTAGCCTGGCGTGATGGCGCATGCCTGTAGTTCCAGCTACTTGGGAGGCTGAGGCGGGAAAATTGCCTGAGCTAGGGAAGCGGAGGTTGCAGCGAGCTGAGATCACACCACTGCACCCCAGCCTGGTTGACAGAGTGAGACTCTGTCTCAAAACAAATAAATAAAAAATAAAATTTAAAAAATATGAGGTGAAAGGATGGGCCAGGCACACATACCTATAGTATCAGTACATCAGAAGGGTGAGGTGGAAGAATAGCCTGAGCCCAGGAGTTCAAGATCAGCTGGGCAACACAGTCAGGCCCTGCCACTACAAAAAAACAAAAAATTTAGCTGGGTATGGTGGCATGAGCATATGGTCCCTGCTACTCAGGAGGCTGAGGTGGAAGGATCACTTGAGCCCAGGAGTTCTAGGTTGCAGTGAGCTGTGATCATGCCACTACACTCTAGCGTGAGTGACAGAGCAAGACCTTGTCTCTAAAAAAATAAAATACATAAATGAATAAAATATAACCCTATCATCTCTTTAAGTGCTCTAGTTCCATTTTTTAAAAAATGTTTAAATTTGTAATATATTTAAATTTGTAATAACAACTCAATTCATAGAGTTAACACTCAGACTTACTAGAAGAAATTTCCAATATCTTTTAAAATTCAATTATATTAAATGTATATTTTTATTGCAGGTAGACATGATGGGGTAATCTACCTATATATATTTTCTTAGGCTCATCAAATGAAGCAGTGGGAGTGGACAAGGAAGAAAGAAATCTGTAACTGATTTGTGATCAATTAGTTGCAAACACCATTGCACTTGGACCAGCTTTATAATAAATTTTGAAGCAAAAATTTATAATCATTAGAGTAAAATTCAGTAAGAAAAGTAAATGAAAATATAAATTATAGGAGGAAAAAATGTAAATTTCTAACTGTTAAAAAAGTATATTTACATTTGTTTTAAAGGAATGATGGTGATAATGGGTATCAAATTGTGCTAATGGTATTTAGAGTCACTGGGTGTATTTTTAAACCACCCTAACAGTTTTGGTTTTTTTTGTTTTTTTGAGACAGAGCCTTGCTCTGTTGCCCAGGCTGGAGTGCTGCAGTGGCACGATCTCAGCTCACCACAACCTCCACCTCCCGGGTTCAAGCAATTCTGCCTCAGCCTCCTCAGTTGCTGGGATTACAGGCGTGAACTACCTTGCCCAGCTAATTTTTGTATTTTCAGTAGATGCAGGGTTCTACCATGTTGGTCAGGCTGGTCTCAAACTCCTGATCTTGTGATCTGCCCGTCTCAGCCTCCCAAAGTGCTGGGATTACAGGTATGAGCCACTGCGCCTGGCCCTAACAGTCTTACTTTACACAATATAAGAGAAATTAGATCTTTGCAATACCTTAAATTCAAGATGAAAAATTTTAGACTTCTATGAGAGAGCGGGTATAAAATTATTTTAAAGACAAGGAAAGGTTTGAAGATCACAAATACTGTGTAAGTCAAATTCCCGTATAGCTAGGTCAATGACTCCATGCCACATACCATGCTTCTTTAATTCAGCAAACTCACGAGGGGGAAAAGCACACTCACCTGACAAGCACGTCATTAGTCCCAAGGCAAGCATCGCACCAGCCAGAACGGTCAGGCGGTTATAGCGCATTGCCATGATGGCTGCTATAAAAAATGTCTTATCACCCAATTCAGAAACAATGATAACTGATATGGCAGCGACAAATGCATGTATAAATCCCAAATTAGTTTGAGCAGCAGGATCTTCCTTATTGGTATGAACTGGAGCTGCTGGTGTAAATGGTTTCTGGAAAGAAAAAAAAATCAGTTACTTCTTAAAATCATTATTTAAAATTATTTTGCACGTAAGATTTTTTTTTTGAAAATTTTCTTGTCATATTCATTACACTTATTCACTGTCTAATCACTCTGAAAGCCACTGGTAATGACAGTAACCTCTGACAATGTTTGCTACAATTCGAGTATCCATTATTTGAAATGCCTGGGACCAGAAGTATTTGCAATTTTGGATTTTTTATATTCTGTAATATTTATATCATAGTTGGGCATCCCTAATCCAGAAATCCAAAATGCTCCAATAAACATTTCATTTGAGCATCATGTCAGTGCTCAAAAAGTTTCAGATTTTGAAGCACTGTAGATTGTAGATTGAGAATACTGAACATGTATAATACAGTTTTATATACAATTCTCCAAAACAATTTTAAGAACAGAGTACACCCATGCACTTGTTTTTTTGAGACAGAGTCCCACTCTGTCACTCAGGCTGGAGTGCAGTGGTGCAATCTTGGCTCACTGCAACCTCCCCCTCCCAGGTTCAAGCGATTCTCCTGCCTGAGCCTCCCGAGTAGCTAGAATTACAGGCATGCACCACCATGCCCAGCTAATTTTTATATTTTTAGTAGAGATGGGGTTTCTCACCATGTTGGCCAGGCTGGTCTCAAACTCCTGGCCTCAAGTGATCCACTTGCCTCAGTCTCCCACAGTGCTGGGATTACAGGTGTGAGCCACCACACCTGGCCAAAATTACCTTGTTAGGAATTTGTGATTTGAGATTTAGTTCTTAGCTATGTCTCATTCAAATTTTTATTAGTAACTTGCGTGAAAGACCCAGGTATGTTCATCGAACATTTGAATGACAAGAAACTAAGAAAAATTTCATTAACACTTTAAAGGACAGAGTAAGACCCACAAACCTCAACAGGACATACAGAGTTGGTTCTAACTAGGACAAGTTTAATACAGCTGTTTACATGGATGGTCCTATGCTGAAGTCTAAAAATATCTTAGAAGGTAAAGTGGCCTAATGAAAAAGACAAACCAGTGTCTTAGCTGGCATTACATTGAAAATGTAACAAAGCTCCAAAAAACCAGTAAGCTCTTTGCTTTAAGCAGGTAGTGACAAGTCTAACATTATTCTACATTGCTCAGACCTTCCAGAAAGTTCTACCTACAGTTCTAAAGCACCGCACTACCCTCTGAAGATCAGCAGAGATGTCAAAAAAAGACTAAAACCAGATATGGCAAGTTACTGAAGCCAAAACCCAGCATGTAAGAGCCAAAAAAATGTTTTTTACATTTTTAAGAGGTTATAAGAAAGAAGAATGAGGAAGGAAGGGAAGGCTGCTGGGAGACACGAGGAAGGAGGGAAGCAATGGAAGATTATACATCAGAGATTGGTAGCCTGCAAATACGTGGCCTGAAATACTTACTATCTGACAACTATAAAAAGTTTGCTGACTTAGCTCTAAAGCAATCCCATGAGGGACCAGGAAGAACAGGGTATCATATTCCAATAATTGGAAAAGTTTACATGTGAATCTATCCAATCTATATGGTACTAACAGGCAGAACGAAAAAGTTACAGGTGGCAGGTTTTAGCTTAACAGAGAGAAGAGATTCCTATCTCCAAAGAGAGACCTGAAGTTGGAATGGACTGCTGGAGGAGCTGGTAAATACCCTGCTCTTCTCAACGTCTGAATTCCAGGAAGGGAACCACCATTCCCAGGAAATGGGCTAGACAAACAGTTCTCAACCAGGGCAATTTTGTCTCCCAGGGGACATCTGACAATGTTTGGAGACATTTTTGGTTGTCACAACGAAATGAGAACTACTGACATCTAGTGGGTAGAGTCCAGATACACTGCTAAACATCCTAAAATGCACAGGACAGCCCTTCCACAACCAAGAATTATGTATTCAGATCGTCAACAGTTCCCAGACTGAGAAGCCCCACACTAGATAAATCACTTCCAAAGGTCTCTTCCAATCCTAATAGCTTATTTTTCATTTTTAAAGCTTATGAATTTCTAGAAACCTAAGAGATACAGAAAAAGAAACCCAAGAACAGTCATTTTAGACAGGGTAAAAACAGATTACAAAGGTCCTAGTCAAATAGAAGAATAAAATCATAAATTCTTACTGTGTGCATGTCATTCCTTAACACGTAACATAAACCTGATTCCAAAATTCCACAGTAAAGATCAGAAAAATGTAAGCATTACCATTAAGACTAGACCTCTGAGCTAAATTCTGGAGAAATTTAACACAATGGAAAGTACTTGCTGCCTTGACAGCTAGCTCTTAACGAATTAAGTTTAATTAATTAAGCAAGTATCATTTTAAGGGCTTCTAGCTTTCTTTCCACCACTATTTTGGTTCCATCTATGTTGATGCTCCTTTAAAAATGAGCTTCCTGCAGTGAGCTATGATGGCACAACTGCACTCCAGCTTGGTGATGAAGCAAGATCCCCTGTCAAAACAACTTCCTTTCTCTTCCATAAGAATCCCCAAAAAAAAAAAAAGGCATTTCAAATTTCAACTTGGCTCTCTCTAGCACATTTTCCTCCTGAATATACTTTTTAAAGGTTATTGTAAATTTTCAGGATCTGAAATTCCAGAAAACTTTTAGGAATAAACATACACCATTTATGATCACTTAGCTCTAAGCTCAAACACAAAATGTTTACTTTTTAAATCAAACACAATAGTGATCAAAGCTAAAAAGACTTCTTTTTTTTTTTTTGAGACACAGTCTCACTCTGTTGCTGGGCCATCTCAGCTCACTGCAAACTCCACCTCCCGGGTTCAAGCAATTCTCCAGCCTCAGCCTCCTGAGTAGCTGGGACTACAGTCGCGTGCCACCACGCCCAGCCAATGTTTGTATTTTTAGTAGAGACAGGGTTTCACCATGTTGGCCAGGATGGTCTCGATCTCCTGACCTCATGATCCACCCACTTCGACCTCTCAAAGTACAGGGATTACAGGTGTGAGCCACCGTGCCTGGCCAGCCTCATGGCTTTATAATTCCCAGCCATGAAACCTCAGCCACATTATTTAATCTGTTCCTCTATGAAATGTAGGGATAAAATGAAATTTGCTTTAAGAGTACCAAAAAAAAAAAAAAAAAAAAAAAAAAAGAACAACAACAAAAAAGAGTACAGACATGCACCACATGATGACATTTTGATCAAGATGGGCCGAAAATACAGCAGAAGTCCCATAAGATTATAGTACCATATTTTTTACTGTACCTTTTCTATGAATTGGTATTTTTATATATATTATGTTACAAATGCCTACAGTATTCAATATAGTAACACACTGTACAGGTTTGTAGTCCAGGAGCCATAGCTATGCCATTTAGCCTACATGTATAGCAGGTTATACATCTAGGTTTGTGTGAGTGAGTACACTCTAGGACGTCTGCACAACAATGAAATTGCCTGACAATGCATTTCTTGGAATACATCCCCATCATTAAGTGATGTATGACTGTAAAACAGAACAAATTTTTTTGAAAACTACATATTCTTAAAATCTTCCTATACACAAATCACACACAAAAAAATAAAGCTTGTTACACACTAAGCCATTCCTGGGTGGCCAAAATCACACAACCAACCATGGTGATAAGAACTTAAAAGTATCAGGGTAGATACTTTTAAGATAGAAGATTTCTATCTTAAGATAGAATCAGGGTAGATAGATTCTATCTTAAGATTCTATCTTAAGATAGAATCAGATACTTTTAAGATAGAAGATTTCCATGAAGATAGAAGATTTCTTTCAATTAAAATATTCCCCTCCCCTCCCTCCCTCCCTCCCTTCCTTCCTCCCTTCCTTTCTTTCCTCTCTTTCTCTCCCTGTTTCCTTTATCTTGCTCATTTTATGCAAAGGGCTAGCATTCTCATCGCTCTTTTTTTCAGGTTTAATCCTTATTTTAATAAAGTTTTCAAGCAAAAAGTAAAAAAAAAAAAATTAACGGAATTAGAAAGTGATTCATTACCATTCACAGCTATGTGAAAGGATCATCTCCTTTTCATAATTCACCTTCACAGGGACGCGGTGCAGTGGTTAAATGTATAAGCTCTGGAATCAGACTGCCTGGGTTCACAGCCGAGGCATTATGAGTCACGGTGTGACGTTGGGCCAGTTAAGTATATTTCCCTGTGACTTACTTCATCTGTAACATAAGGGCTACCTACATTGCAAAGGGTTGCTGTGAGGATTAAATGAATTAAATGAATAAAGCCCTTTAGGACAGTGCTTAGTACACAGTAAGTGCACAATTAAAGTTAGTTTTTGTAGTACCACAAAATGTTACTTCACTGTTTTAAGAAATGCAATGGTCTTTGCATACCAAATACTTGGTTCTGGTAACTGTCCAACACTTCTCACTGAAGCACACACCAGGTTCCCCAAATGCACCTGCTACTCTATCCTGAAGGATGAGCCAGAGCAGATTCTAACAAAAAATCATGCAGCCACAAAGGTGGGCCACATAATACAATTTTACATTTTCTGTTGCCATATATTTAAAAGTAAACTAGGTAAAAATTTCAATAACATTTTACCCAACCCAATATATCAAAAATGCTACTATTTAAATTATAAGCAATATTTTCTAAATTACTGAGGCAATTTTAACATTCTTTTCTTCATACTAAGTCTTCAGACCCTGGTATTTACGCACTGTACACCTCAACTCTGGACTAGCCACATATCAAATGCTCACATCCACAGGTACTCACGGCTCCAGTACTGGGCAGTGCAGCTCGAGGGCATGCCAGGCTTTTGCTAACCACAAGCCTTCGGCCAAACAGTCCTATTTCCCTACCTACCTCCTTTTCATTATCCCTCTCTTCATCCAGATTCCTCAAGGTCCAACTCAAGTAGAACCTCTTGAGCAAGGCCCACTCCCAGCAACTCCAGCTCCTAATGATCCTGCCCCACTACAATAAAACTGAATGCAAACTGTTGGCAATGAGTATGAGAGGCCTATTA